ACGGGTAGTTGCTGATTTCCCTTTCTCTCGTAACTCAGCTACGAGCGCTGTTTGTTTAAAGTTCAGAGTCACAGAAAAAGTTTGTCGAATATTCGGCGCAAGGATCCTCCTGTCTGTTTCCTTTAAGTGCGAAGGACTGGAGAGGCCGAGGCTGCCTTATGCTGTGTCATCTCTTGGCGTAATGCAGGTATAATAAAGATTGCAAAAAAAAAAACAAGCGAGAGACAGATAGAGAGAAGAGAAAGATAGAAGAAATATCAAAAAATAATAAAAATAAAGAGAGAAAAACTGCAAAGAAAAGACTGAAGAGAGACAAAAATGAAAAGAAACAAAGATGGCTGCACAACTCCGCACTATATTTCAGCTGCCCTAGTTGTTTTATTTTTTTCTTGCTCACATATATATATATATATATATATATATATATATATATATATATATATATATATATATATATATATATATATATATATATATATATTATATATATATATATATATATATATATATATATATATATATATATATATATATATATATATATATATATATATATATATATAGTAGACTCCCTTTAAGACGGATTCGAAAGGACCAGTATTTTACATTTTAACAGTGGAACTGTAGCATGACTCTGTTTTTCACGATTAGAAGATTAAAGAAGACAAGCTCAAGTAAACTGACTTTTTTTTTTTTCATTTTGCTTTCTCTTGTTCGCCTGAATGCCCCCATCAAGACTAATGTTTGTTGCGCAGAATTTCCGTCGTTGTCGGTTGCTGTGAGAGTTCGTCTTAACAGAAAAGGCGTGTTACGCAGTTCGTCTTAAGCAGGAATTCGTCTTAACAGAGTTCTTCTTAGAGGGAGCTCACTCTCTCTCTCTCTCTCTCTCTCTATATATATATATATATATATATATATATATATATATATATATATATATATATATATATATATATATATATATATATATATATATATATATATATATATATAAACTTTCCACAACCCTCTACCGCAAACCAACAGATCGACAACAGTACCTCCATTACCAAAGTGATCATCCACGCCATTGTAAAAAACGCATTCCATACGGCCAGGCCCACCGTTTTAAGCGAATTTGCTCAAAAGACACTGACTTCCACGCGAGCTCACAAAAGCTTAAACTCGTGCTCGAAAAACAGAAATATCCTCCACATGTAATTGATGACGCTATTCAAAAAGCTAGAAAACTTCAACGTGATGACCTTCTGATGAAGCGGCCACCACAACACAACCTGCAACAGACACACCTATGTTTAACATACAGCACGAATTTCCCCAACGTTAACAAAATCCTTAAACGACATTACAACATACTGGAACAAAGTGAACGTCTAAAACGTGCATTCCCATCGGCTCCTGGCGTCGTTTACCGACGAACACGCAACCTCAAAGACACACTTGTAAACTCCCAAATCAATACTTCAACTTCCGACAGTTCATGCCGACCTTGTCTGAAGCCCCGATGTTTTGTATGCAAAGCGATGCGAGATACAAGCAAGGCAAGCAGCACACAATCCAACTTTTCAATTAACATACGAGGAAATCTAACATGCGATTCCCCTAATGTGGTATATCTACTTGAATGCAACGTGTGCGGCATGCAATACATCGGACAAACGGAAACACCCTTTAGGATTCGTTTCAATAATCACAGAGCCCACGCGAAATCAGCGCCGAATCTACCTCTATCAAAACACCTTAACCTTCCCGGCCACTCCTTCGACAAATTGTCAGTCACACTTTTAGAAACAGGATTTAAATCAAACCGGGAACGTGAACAACGTGAATCATACCTCATACACCGATTTAACACCCTCGAAAAAGGCATAAATGAAAGTCCGGGTACACTTGCAGCAATCAAAGCACTATAATATATACATATGCATTTATATGTGTATATGTACTTATGCATATGCGCATATGTATGGGGGTGTATGTGTGTATATGTAAGTTTATAATTGTAATCATAACAGTTCAAGATTTCGCGGCACTGTGGCGGCGACGAGGACTGGACAACTACAAATATCTTTGCGTGTTTCAGTGAACCACTGTCGTCTATTTCTATTTCTCTGAATAACCGAACAATAGTTGTAAGCCCGACTTGTCGAAGGGTCACCGCATGCACAACTAAAAGCCCCGAACGTGGATTCCCAGAACAAAATGCAATCACTTCAAACGCCCCTTCTCGCCTTTTGGCAACCCTTCCCCGATTTTGGCAACAAAGCCCGACATCCACATACACAACTAAACGCCCCGAACGCGGTTTCCCAGTACAAAATAGCAATCACTTCAAACGTCCTTTCTCGCAGTTTGGAAACCCTTCCCGCATTTCGACAACAAAGCCCGACATATAGAAGGGCCACCCCATACACAATTAAAACCCCAAACGCGGATTCGCAGAGCAAAATAGCATTCAAAACGACAGACAGCGCCTTAAGAAACATTTTCTCCCGCGCCGACTTCCTGGAGCCTCGGAACGCTGTCCCCGACGCCGAATTAGTGACGGTCTTTAAAAATAAAAAATAAAAAATAATAATAAAAAAAGCATTTTTCGCGACACGCAAGCCCTTACCTTAGCCAGGCCCCGTCTACAATAAAGGGACCGCCACCAAACTGCACTGAACGCAATACTAAGAAAATACACACTGACGACGCCACTCGCGAAGCACAGTGGAACCTGGAACTTTCTGGATATCCTTTCCTCTCTCGTTTTTCAAACTCTTTCTTTCTTTCTGTTTTTTTTCGTTCCTTCCCTCTCATTTTTTACCCAAAATACTATAAATGTGAGCGCAAACAGAATGTACCATGACTCCTGATGAAGGCCAGACTCTGGCCGAAACTGTCGAATTAAACACTTCCGTTGTTACCGTTCTCTTGGAGGATCTACTTGACTTATATATATATATATATATATATATATATATATATATATATATATATATATATATATATATATATATCTGTGTGTGTGTGTGTGTCACAAACGTATTTTAATGGCACTGTGCACAAAAACATTGCACGACATCCCTCATTTGAATAACCTCGTTTTTCACGTGCAACCAAGTATAACAGCGCGGCGATATCGGTTGAAGAAATTGCCGACAGACAGTAAGTAAGCTTGGGCAGTCAGCTGGGTGACCCTGCAGTATTGAACATCAGATAGCATCTTGTTGGGTGACGTGATGATTGAAAAGGCAAACCAGTTTTAAGAGCTCAAGTGCACCATGCAGCGGATGAGCTGTAGCAAACACCCAGAACCACTCCAACACGAAAAGAAGATGCTGGTATGCACTAAGACCTCGTATAGTACAGAAGGCAGCAATGCGAGTCACGATAATGGATGAAACCAGGACGGAGCTGATGCGTACTGCATGAAATTGATTGATTTGTGTGGTTTAACGTCCCAAAGCCACCATATTATTATGAGAGACGCCGTAGTGGAGGGCTCCTGAAATTTTGACCACCTGGGGTTCTTTAACGTGCACCCAAATCTGAGCACACGGGCCTACGACATTTCCGCCTCCATCAGAAATGCAGCCGCCGCAGCCGGGATTTGAACCCGCGACCTGCGGGTCAGCAGCCGAGTACCTTAGCCACTAGACCACCGCGGCGGGGCGTACTGCATGAAACAATCCACTATTGGTTGATATGTGAACCCTGATATCGATGGTCACGAGGAAAAAGAGAATTCGATATACTATGTTCAATTTAAACTGATGAGGCAGTGAGAAATGGCAGCTTAGCTAGAGGATGTACAGATTTATACGACTTTGCTATACATAATAAAGAAACAGTTTCGTATTGTGGAGAGGTCACAAGGTACTGCAAAATACGGTTACAACCGTGTTTACTCGGTTGTATCGCGATCACGATTGCAAAGCGAGCGGTGACTTTTCATTGTGTAAAGGAAAAAAAAAAAAGAGTTTCAGTATTCAATTGTAACGCGTTGGTCGACTTTAGGTATCAGATATGTGAAAAAAAAAGCTTGCGTAGAGTCGAGTACACAGATCATAACAGTGACTCTGCGTCGAAATATGCTCAGTTATTTCAAACAAAATAGAGCTTACCGCTGGTGTCATGCTGTGCGCACTTCTGATCACACGTGTCTGATCGGGATCGAATTTCTCAAGTTATTGGCTCATTATACTGTGACTAACGTAAGGGATCCCACTCATGAATAAGAAATTCTATCTGTATCAGGTCCACTCGTGATCAGAAGTGACTGTACGACGTCGGCATAAGTTCGAGGAAAAAAAAAACACTTTATAGATGCGTGCTGTGATGCATGTGTTTACGCAACGTGACGATGCGTCGCGTTAAAAGATTGATAGATTGATTGATATGTGGGGTTTAACGTCCCAAAACCACTGATGATTATGAGAGACGCCGTAGTGGAGGGCTCCGGAAATTTGGACCACCTGGGGTTCTTTAACGTGCACCCAAATCTGAGCACACGGGCCTACAACATTTCCGCCTCCATCGGAAATGCAGCCGCCGCAGCCGGGATCGCGTCGCATTAAAAGAAAACAGCTTACCTTCGTTGTTCCGTTTCTTCACGTATGCCGTAAAAATGAGCGCAGCGCGTCCGCCTAATGCATTTAATGAGCCTTATACCACGCAATTCGTGCGCGAGGCTCTACAGCTTAAACATCACAAACTCGAAAGAGTGGCACACATTACGGTAAAAGTAGCACTTTGTTTCGCCCAGACGAGCTCGAGCGCTTATTTCGGAGCAGAGCAAGCTGACGGGGGGACACTAGATATGGCTCAGCGCGAGAAGAAAGCGCGAGGGCGTTTCTACGTGTACACGTAGACATGTAGAGGCGAGCAGTGCGGTTACCCCACGCGAACCCGAAATCCGCCCAAGCCACAAAAAGAACCGAGTCGGAGGCAGCGAGCCAAATCCCGCATGTGTATCAGTGGCAACGACGAGACGACCATGTATTAGCGCTAAACGCTTCTTCGCCTAAGTACTGGCGGATCTCACTCAAAACTCGCTGCACAGCGCTGAGCAACGAAGCAGACGGCGGAATGAGCGCACGCCAGGGACAGACAGCAGCGGTAATGAGGTGGGCACAGGAGGCAATCCTTTTTTTCACAAAACATTTCCGTGCAGTAGAAGAGTCAACGCTGGACGAACGCGGGGAAAGAACTAATTCCCCCCCCCCCCCCCCCGTTTCACTCGGGTCTGGCTGTGGCGTCCAGCAATGGAGCGGCCGGGCTATGGGAACCACTTGTTGTTGGGTGTCGCCACGTCATTACTCGCATGGGCAGTAAACTGATAAACTTCTTGTGCGTGACAATTAATGTGCATTTTCATTTTACTTTGTGTTCACCCTGCCTGCAGGTATAACTGTTGTCTTTGTAGTCAACTGTCTCATTTCATTCTTTTTTCTGTTTTGATCAACAGGCTTGACTTGGTAGTGCTTCTTCATTTTTTCTTGTAGACTTCTGACAATACTTGATGTCATCATTGTCCCATCTTCATCACTATTTTTCCTCCTTTTCTTTTTCTCGCTGCAGAGTAGCAGGACAGAAGGCATAAGCCCGGGTCGGCATCTCTGCTTTCAAATTAATTATTTCTCTCTCTCTTTCTCTTATGTCATAATTTTTAAGTGCACTTGATGTCGTTGCTGTTATTTATGGTTGCGGTTGCAGTTCATAGTCATGATTTCGGTACAAGCAGCTTTGCTTTCGGCCACACTTTTTCTTTCTTTCACATTTGCAATAACGCCTAACAATTCCTTATGTACCCTGCCGAGCATTATGATACTGTTACCGCCTCGCCGTTTCCCTCGGCATCTTACACCAGCTTGCACAAGATGTTGAGGACAAGATATTAGCAGAGCCATGCGTGGGTTTATGTTATTCTCTTGCCACTACGTTAAGTAGCTGGCTGTAAAAAGCGGGCCGATGGCAACCTATCGACGATTACATAAGAATACATTAATTGCTGGTTGAATGCGGTATCTATTCCCACTTGTTCTTTTGGCTCCATATAGGATACGAAAACTGAGTGCAATATTTCTCCCTCCTATTCCTCGAAATTGGTGTTCACTTTGTCGCCTTTTCAGTGCCGTTTTTGTTCATTACTATTACGATTCATTTCGTGCTCGGCAAAAAAAAAAAAACACGTAATTGTTGACGACTGAAGGGAACAACAGATTTCAACGAAGTTAACTGACACCTCAGACCAAGCGTGGCCTGTGTTTCTTCTATGATATTGATGTTGGCATGACCGTGATTCTTGAAGATATAAGAGAAGTGCAAGTGATCGTCCCTGTGCACAGCCTTTTTTTTTGTTTCATCGTGTAGCACTTCTTTCAAAAGTAAACGGAGGGCTGCGCGAAAATGACGAATGTTCTCCACTTGGGCTGCGCTGTTCATTACCCTACTTCGCGAGGCTGAGTGTTTTGCATAGAGTAAGATGCTGCTTTGCAGACTGGCGTGTACCTATGGATGCTCGCTGTGCTCGGCTCTTACATGGACCAGAGAAAAAAGCGAGGCGTCCCCTCTGTATGGAGTGCCCCTGCTCCCCATCGTTGCCGGCCCCTTGGTGTCGCTTAATTGCGCCCCACAAATAGTTTTGAGCGACCCTTAATCCCGTACTCACGCCTGATCCCGAGAAGATGTCTATACGTCGCACCAGTCGCGTACGTGTCTTCAATAGAATGCCCGCACATCGCTCGCATATTGAGAGGACGGCTCATCGCTTAAAAGACAAAGGCCACGCTAAAGATGCGGACGAACCGAACGCAAGCAAGAACTAGATTGCGGGAACAAGAAGGGGAGAAGGCGCCGCTCGACCACGCTGGATTAAGAGGCGCACAACAAGGCGTCTCGGCAAAGTGTTTTAGGGAAGAGAGAGATCGTCGCGACGAGGAGAACGGCTCCCACAGTCCCGACGACTCACTCCCGTCTCTTCCGCATCCCTATGATTGCCACTAGACGCGAAGGCACGTGGGAGGGCCTGTGACGTCAGAGAAACCAGCTCCTCCCGATTGGCGGAGAGCCCGACGAAGGGCCGGCGGCTCCGCGGTTAAAACACCGGGGCCCGCGCTCTCCGAAACGTGCCATCGCGCTCCACGGACAGTGAGGACTTCTTGGGCATCGCAAATTCCGCGTGCACGCCTCCCAGCAAAGTGAGTGATCGTGACGTATACCTGTCACCTGCTACTGCTGCTTTGGGACGTATCCGTACACGTGTTATAGTTTGCAGCTAGCTTGGCCTGTGCTGCAGTCCATGTTATCCTACGTTGAGTTCAATACTTTGCACAGACCAGGTAGTTATGGCGCTGTGTCATGCATGCCTTAAGCTAGCCCTGCTTCAAGTCTGACTGCAGAGTCTGTGCTAATCAATTTCAGCTCGTATACTTTTAAGAACGAGAGGTTAACTATACCTTGACACGTGTGTGATGTTTTATTTACTGCGCCATATCGAAGTTTCTCAAGGTAACAGAACGTTGTTACTGGATCAAAAGAATATCTATATTATTCTTTCACATTTGTGCATGTTCCCTAGTCTCACAGAAGCTCATTTAACGATTATGTTATTACTTGAGTACATTGTATGACTCACTTAAGGAGTAATACATGAGGGGTGGTGTACTGGTATTCGAAACTTTCAGTGTTTAGCAAGGTTTTGAGAATGGCACGACGTCTGTAGGGAAGGCTTTTTATAGTTTAGAAGTACGCACACAGAAAAATGAACGAAGATGGCCTGAAGTTTGGGCAAGGTGCGTTATGAACCTTGAAATTGCCTGTGTGATGTGCCATGAGGAGTGCTGGACGGATTGGAGCGTAGATAACCTACGTCAGGTCCAATTTACGGAAGACAAACCGGTAACTGAGTTTAGATTATAGCTTATGAAGGTTAGCACGGTACGTAACAGCAAAAACAAAAGAATAAAATACAGGAAATAAAGTAGCTTAACCACGTTGCACGGCCTTGTACAAGCTCAGAGCCTGTAGATAGACAGACGGGGACATTAAATTGCACATACACACAACATTTTTGGACGTACCTGTGCTAATGAAGATTGTAGTTAACGAGAGGAAAGAAGCAACATTTGGCGCCTAGAGCTTTATCATTGATATGTGCCGTGCGCGTTGACCTTCTGAGATCGTGCGATACGTTGAGGTCGTGGTTTTTCACGGGTGGTTACTGCTTACTTGTATAAATAGTGATAAAGCAATATCACGACTCACAGCTTTTGACTAAGATAATAACAATGGTTGGCGTTTAACGTCACAAATCACCATACGTTTATGAGATACGCCGTATAGTGAAGGGCTCCGAAAATTTCGACCAATTGGTGTTCCTTAAGGTGCACTTCAATATAAGCATACGGGCCTCGAGTAATTTCGCCTACATCGCAAATGCGACCGCCGCGGCCGGTATTCGATCCCGCGACCTGCGGGTCAGCAGCCGAGTGCTTTAGCCACTAGACCACCGTCTAGTGTTTGTCTAAGATTAACAGACACCGAAAAGGGGGGGGGAGGGGGAGGCTAGCAAGACTGAATCTTTTTGGCTACCCTGCACTGGGAAGGGAAAAGAGAACTGGCTAATGAGGATCGATGCGCGAAGTTCGGGTATTCCAAACACACACGCAATAAAAAAAGAGATCATTGTCGAGTTTATTCACGAGCGTTCGTGTATAGTATTGCGCTATCCCATGCATGGAGCGTACGTGGTAACGCTTTAGCAGCATTACCCATCGCAGACACACAAAAGGAACTGTCCCAAGAAGATATCGGTTGCTATTCTTGACACTTAAATTCCGCCGTATTGTGAAAGTCTGTAAAGGTGGCATTTTAAGCCAACGAGAGGGGCCGTAGCAGCTCTCTGAGCTAACAAGAATTGGCTAATGACGTAATTTAACGACGGTGGAATTAAAAATGTCCAAAGTAGCACCCCTTTCTCCTGTAAGAGGGCCGCATACAATTACATTTGCTTATCAAGTGTTAATCGAAGGAGAAGCCTCTCATCAACTCATGCTGAACCGTCACACGTGTAGTGTTCTATAGTTATTTTACATCAAACGTCTCACAGTAGTCACTGTCCGACATTTAAAGTAGAAATGAGGGCGTTCGTAAAAGTAACTCCAAACCGGACGACGCAGAGCAGCATCTGTTCACGTCGAGTCAAAGCTAGTAATCGAGTCTCGACCGGTAAAAAAAGAAAAAAAAAACACGTTGGTACGGGAATAGTTATAACGCAGTGATGAGTTATCATTACTTGGGGCCGAGATTACCTCACCCGCCTTGCATGCGGTCGTGTGACACTTAACAGATAATCGCGACTTCATGCCAAAGTAATGCCAGCAATACTCTTGTGTTTAAACTATAGCCGTTAATCTCATCGGCACCCGCGAATCTGAAAACTTAGGAGATAAGATTGGCTTAGCCATGCCGTTTAGGTCGAACCAAACCAACGGTATGCATTAGCGGACTGCCAAAAGAAGAGAAGCGTCAGATTCCCTAACGAATCTAGACGAGAAATTCATGTTTCGTACACGAGCATGCAGCATAAGTCCGCGGTATAGTGGAGTGTTAATCAAGTAACAAGTACAATGTTCTAATGAGGTAAGGGTTAGAGATAAAAAAATATTGAACACGGAGTTACGCTGGAGTCAACGTTTTGAAAAGTAGTCTTGTCTTCCTAGCGTAAATTAAAAGAAATCAGCGTTTAGTTTAAGGAGAAGAGCCTTGAAATTTATTTATACCACGACGTATCAACCCAAGTTGCATTTAGAGTAAGATTAATTGGTCGAGCGGGAAAAAATCTGTTTTTACTGATTGTTGAGGTGCATTAAGAGAGAGAGAAATAAATAATAGAAGAGACGGGGAGGTTAACCTAAAACTGGTTGCTACACTGTACAGGGGTGGGGAAATAAGGGTCGTAAAGAGGATAGAGATATAGAGATACAAAATAAATTATAAAAAAATTCACATGCACACACATGCAGGGCGTTCCGATCACAATCGTTTGGACAGGCTGGTTGAACGCAAGAAGCGCAGGAGCGCCTTCACAGCCTTCTTCTGCGTCATGAAGCCCTGTCGGCAGCGC